CTGTTCACTTCTCCTTTCCCTTCCCTTCCCCTCCCTTTTCTGGACTAAGCATCGTTGGAAAGGTGGCTTGCGCCATCGTTGGAATGGTGGCTTGCGCCATCTAATGTCGTGCTTGCTGCTTTCAGGGCCAAAAATTTTATAGCGGTCTTTCACGAAACGGATTGTAAAAGTAGATGGCGCCAAACCCATCCCCGAGTAGTACTTTCCCATTCATTGTCACGGTTTTTGCCTAACATGGCTTGCGCCATCTGCATCTGCGTGTTTTCGTTCCAGAGGCATTTTTCCCTACACAATAAATGGCTCATTACAAAAACCTGAGCCAAGTTATTTGGCAATAGAGTAAATGAGCACCAAACATTTCCGAAATACCAGCAGGTGTTGATCGTGCATGTTTCTCTTTCTACAAAGCTGCAAAGCTAGAATGTGCGTTAAAAGAGAATTCCTCACGAAGATCCGATTTCAGCTTTTAAGGGGATTTCCTCTCATTTGAGAGTCATCCATTTATATTCCAGGGTTGGTGTTGTTTTTGTACATATGGTTACATCCGCCAATTGAGCCTTGAAGCTTAAGAAAAGGGATGGTCTAGACATGGACCCTCGTCGCAAAAAGCGTGCCCTGCGAACGCATACCAGAGAAGTAAACCAAGAATTCATATATGAGCTTGAGATGAGCTGAACGAGATGCGTTGCGATGCCATGGTGAGTATTGCGATGCCATGGACACATAGAATCTTTCCTGGGACCTAGGTTCTTTCGTGGCTGCACACCATCAGTATCTTCATCTAGTCACTCTAGTCCATCATAGCACTTATTGCAAAGGCAGTGGCCAAGGCAGTTACCAGAGGAAAAGCGCTGTCGGTCGCCATAGTTGTTTCATGTTGTTTCCATTTGTTTCCAAAGGAACCGCAGTTACTACTTTGCCTGCACCTCCAGGAACCGCTACTACCTTGTTCACAGTAAACTTGACTGTATCAAGATACGATGTTTCTACGTCGCGTTCTCCACCCAACGGCGCACGGAACCCACAGCGCCAAGTCCCCGTTCCTTCGTCGAACCGGCGCTGCCAAGGGTCCCAATCCAGTCGCCTTCGAAGACCAAGGACACGCTCCTGTGGCACCGGAGTCCGTCGCAAGTCCGTCCGTCCGTCGCAGCCCGTCCGTCGCGGCGCGTCTCGTGTGACAGTCTTATGACCCAATGGGATGCGGCGGAACGAACCCGCCGATGGTGAAGATCCCCAGAATGAGGTGATTGGAAAAGGCGCTACTCCCTGGAATCAGCTGTCACTGATGCGGATGGCACGGCCCCAAAACACGACCAGGCCATCCGAATACCAGGCAGGTGGTGTCATCCACATGAATTTTTCAGGGAGTGTAGTGGGACTGGAGGTGGTGGCGCACTCTGAATTCATCGAACCTTGATCCCATCTTCACCACCGATGGAAGCTCCAGCAGCTTCAGCCAGTGGATGTAGAAAACAAAGAGATCTCGAGTTGGTGCACCACTGTCGAGGAGTTCGCCCTCTGCTAGTCACTCAATTGCAACGTATGGACCGTAAGTTGTATCCAATTCTTACAAGAAACCTTGTATTAACACCTGGAAAGGTGCACAAACTGCACAACTAAAAGCTTGGATCCACTAGTATTGCCAGCCACATCTCAGCTATATTCTCACACAGAGTCACCCACTCCTAGACATCCTCTATACCTGGATATTCCAACTATGCCAAATGCCTGCCTTTGGGCTGCTTTTCTATGGATGAAAAGTAGACATGTGTCACAGTTGGAAGATCCAGGTCTTTTCCCCCCATCTGAAGGCCCGTTTCTCCGTCTCCGCTCACCATCGGGCTCTCCACTCACAACCCGCGGCGGAACGGGCCTCTGGTGAAGCGCCCCATGGCCACTGCGCTTGTTGAGCGTCTCGTGCTTGGCCAAGCTGTAGAAAACACCTCGCGTCTCGCGACTCCGGCCTCTTCGCGAGACGCTTTTGGGCCACGGGTCGTCCAGTCACGTGGCCGAACGGCCAGTCCTGAAGAGCGACCAGTCACGTCGTAGATTCTAGGCCGTCGACGTTGGAACATGGGGTGCCAGCATGAAGTGAATCGATTGGTTCATCGATCCAATCGCAGCGATTACCACAGCGCGCCCGAAAGCAACCAGTTCCACCAAACCACGTGGGCGTCTTCACTCACTTGGGCGGCAACGAGCTCACATCGACCTCCCCGGCGCCTGGCGGCTGAATCGCCACCGCCAAGCGATCGGTCAGGGCGCCCACGACCAACGCGATGCCGCCACCCAAGGAGTGGCCAGTGACCACCACCTCCTTCGACAGAGATGAGACGAGTGACCATCCCATCCACATCCATCCACCAGCTCTTGAATTTGGTCAAGATGCTCCAGACTCTTGTTTCAAGCTACCCAAATCCTCCAGAGTTCTGGGGAGCTTTGGGAATGCTTCGAGGGTGAATCCAAAATGTCTTTTGAAGGGTCGTTGAGCGTCATACCCAGGTGGGATCCGGTAAAAATCCAGTGAGATGGCTGTTTCTCCACTTGTTGAGATACGAAGTGCTCTACGAAGCTCCCTTCACAGGAGCGCGAAATCTGCAGAAGTAGTACAAGGATGTACAAGGACCATGATGGGGACGGACGGTAACGGCAAAGTTCTAGAGTTTTCAGGCGATGTAACCTTTCAAGGCCAAAGCAACCTAGAGCAGTACTGTAGCGCTCAGTCGGCGAGGGAGAAAGGGTTCTAGACCTCGATCTTTAAGTTATGGTCACACCCCTGCATCATCACGCTCATGACCCACAGACTACTCATTACCCTCTGACTCACCAACCTGATACTGTAGTCACTGTAGTCGTCTAAATGAGAGTATATAACAGTGTTTCAAATGGTATATCTGTCGACAGATAGGAAGTCGTCTTCCCAAAAATCGCATGCCATCTGGGGTCGCCTGCCATCCTCCGCGCTTGCTCGCGTCCGCGCGCTCGCGCGCTGGCCTGCTCACGGGGGATCTTCTGCACATACTCCAAGATCTCACTGTAATGCCACTGGTTATCTTCCAGGCCCAAGCCATCTGAGCAGGAGCAAGCGAGAGCAGGACGCCTGATCTCGTGATCTGGATCATGGGATATCATGGGCAAATGCAAACAATACACCCTCTTGGTCCTTCGTCCCATGCCAGGTCTCAGGTCTCAAATAAAACAGTCATCACATCCAGCTCTTTTGCCTCTGCCAAAGCATACATCGGCTCCTCACCCCCGCCCCCCCTTCTCCAACTTCGCTCCCTTCCCCACGATCAGTACGGATCACCACCCCCGCTCTTCACTCTCCAACCGCCGCCGTCTCTCCGCCCTCTCCGGCTCTTCACTCTCCGAAGCGCTCAGGATGTCGTGGATGGTGCGGATCACCATGGAGGCCGAGTCCCGCGGCCAGATGCGAATCGTGGGGAACATCGTCTGCAGGATCTGCAGCGCCACCGGCTCCGTCCACCTGGTGGGCAGCGAGGTCCGGCACCCGGGGACGGACGGCACCCGGGACGGCACCCGGGAGCGACCTAAGGAGGTCGCCCGGAGCGACCACTTGATATGAGCAAGGCGGCAAGTCCATGGATTCCTAACTGCGAAGTGATCAACAACTTGGGACATGGAACATGATCTTGGGTTTGCATTCAGAACTTGGGCCCGGTTCTATAGGTGCTTGGTGGCGAATGAGGGAAGTCTTGCTGCCAATAATTTATATATCGAGAATCCTTTCGACCCATTCCCTCATTCCTCATCCATCAGTACCAAAACCCATTCCCTCATTCCCTGTCTTCAGGTCATCTTCATCTCCTTCTCCATCTCCTCCTGGGCACATCCGCAAGTTCTCGGCGTAATCCGCGATCCGTGAGATGTCGGTGCCACTCACACTCACCACGGACAGCTGCCGGCAGCCCGAGCCCTGGCGAAAGCAGCGGACAAAAGCACCACCGGTGGAGACTCTGGAGACTCATCTAGAAAGGTGCTGTTCTTTTTTGGGGTTGGGTGGTTTGGTATGGTCCATGTAGCAATTAGTCAAAGCATGTCAAAACAGATGCAGTTGTGTGATGCTTTGTGTTCACGAAACTGGTCGTTTTGGGGGGTCACTGGTCACTACCTACTCCACCTGAGTGAGTGGGAGGTACTTTTGGGGGACTCACATCCATCAAAGAACAGAATGAATGATCCTGATTGATCCTGAGGGGGGTGGTTCAAAGTTGCAAAGATTGATTAACACAAAAGACCCATCTGTTGAAGAAACGGCACTCAGGTCAACTAGAAAAGCATCTTGCTCGTGGATGTGTTTGCCCAGAAAGGCTTTGTATGCGACTCGTTGAACGTGGGCCGGGCTGGTCAGGTGCGACTCGTTGAACGAAGACATATAAACAATATGTCATTTTAGGGGAAGGCCTTCTGACCAAGAATTACAACAAGAATGGCAATACCAAAAGCAACCTTGCCTTGGGTTGGAGAAAAATGTGGGACATATGAGCACTGAAGAACTCTCAGTCTCAGGGTGCACTTGAACAAAGTCTAAACTTTAAACAGAAATGTTACCTCCATTGGTGTGTGTGTGTACCCATCCATGTTTTATCACTTGGCGGCTTGGACCTGCTGGATCAAAAAGGTCATATACATACTGTTTTTCCAGGACCACTCAAAAACATATGAATACATGACCTATATGATGTAAAAAACAAAAAGAAAAATACACACAAAATAGTAATAGCATGCAATAACTAACTGCTTGCAAAACATCCTCCTGTCGCAGAACTAGAAATCACAACCATATTGAAATCCAACTGCAACTGCAGTTGCCTCCGACTGAAAAAGATGTGACTTTCAAAAAATGTTCCCAAATCCCCCATATGATCTCCTTTTCAGGCTCCCTACCGGAGAACCTGCCGGAGGGAGAATGCACGTTGGTACCATCTCCGCGCCTGCCATCCATTCCAGAGCCCTCCACCCTCGCAGCGCTTCACTTCAAACTCTAACCAGCGCCTGGAAGCTCCGGAGCGTGAACCACAAAAAGAAAAAGGTTATAGAAAAGTCCGAAAAAGGCCCTGCAAAGACACCATGAGATGAATTGATGGTCTGAACACCAGTCCTGAATACTCATGAATCTCCACTTGAGAAGGATTGCTCATTGCTCCCGGAGCTCCCTGGAACGGGGGCCAGCTATCGTGTAGTCCGTGCAGTAGCTGGGCTGTCGTGCGGTCATCGTGTGACCGTAACTGTCGAAGGTCACATGTTCAAACGAAACCATGAAAAATGGCGCTGCTCGTCCAAGCAAACAACACCTGGCCCCTGGCGAGAAGACCACATGGTGCACCACGAAAACAGGGTCCCCCCCTCCTGCCCAAGCGGAGGCACCTGTTCTGCACTGGAGGAAGAGGTCGTATTGACACCTCCAGGTGCGGGAAAAGCTTCTGCAGCAACTTTGGCAATGCATTCTTCTCGCTGGGCGTGATGTAGGCCCTTGGTCTTCAGATGTGTACAACAGCTGTTCGGCTGTTCAACAATCTGTGAACCCCCAAAGTGATGCAGAAAAAGCAGGCTCAGCCACACTAACTCTGGAAGCACCTGTTTACCCGCCCGCCAGAACACGGTTTCTTCAGATCACGCCCACCAGGACCCCACTACCCATCGGATGCTCCTACCAGCGTGGACAGTCACTGAGTGGGGTGCTTGTGAGTCACATCTATTCGGTGGTTGTGGATGTGAGTGGTTGTAAGGCACTATCCTATCCTCCCCCCGACTTCCTGGTTCAGTGAAAATCCCCCGACTCCATGCAACTGGCCCCCAGTTATGTCGAAAGATCTTGAAACCTCTCCCACACACCCAGATCGATGACCTTCTTCGTCCGTCGACTCATGGATGACCACGGTGAAGTGAACTGTGGACGGTTTTGGGAAGATCGTCATCCAGCTGGCTTTTGACGTGCACGTGCTCCTACCAGCCTTAGTTATAGTTATAGTTGTTTCCCACATGACATCTTGCGGCCCAAAACGGCCTGTTGGCCCTCAAGTGCACCGTGCACGTGAAAGAAAATCCTCCCAACTGCAGGTGCTGCACCATCCGCCTACATCCGCGGCACCATCCAGCCCGAGTCCGACCTCTGCCTCTGAAACAAAATACAGCCGTGCGGCAGCTCTGACAGCAAGGCATAGTCCACCAGCTGCAGGCCATGCCAGGTATGCCCGCACACCGCATAGTGCCCGGTGCTGTTGCGCTCGAGCACGCGGAGAAGACCTCGCAGAGGCTTTCCATTACGGTGTCTGCTGTCAGTCCTCTATGTTGGACTACAGCCACCAGCAACCACTAAAAATATGTTCTTTTCATGCCGTTTCCTGCGAGTTCGAGGAGGGTGTGCGAAATGGCAATGCTTCGTGACCAGAATCTTTCGTTTGCACATGCCAGCGAGATGCTGCGAGAATCGTAAAAGCTTGCAAATGGTGACAGACTCTACAGCTACACCCTGACTCACATACATGGAAATGGAAACCACCCTATCTGTAGATCTGTAGATGAAAAGGTTATTCCCAGAAGTCAGGCCATCCATGGTCAGAGGGTACCACCCCATGTCAGCGATGCCTTTCATTGGCCTTCCAAGACCATGAAAATTACACCGGCATAGACCCCAGATAGGAGCTGGTCAAAAAAAGACAGAAGCAGTTGAAACAAAAACTGTCCAAAAGAAATCAGTGTCTCACAAAAAGACATGAGAGCTTCCGGTCATGCAGCAAAAATATCAAAAATATAAATTAAAGGGCTTGCACGCACTGGCACCTGCATCCAGCACCGGCACCAGCACCAACACCCGGTTAACAAAGAGCGCACAGCCAGCTCGTTCTTATTTATTTGAAGAACCCCATAGCTATCGCTATCTGGGGAAAAAGCTTTGACCTCGTTTTGTAGTCTAACATAGTCTAACATTATTAGCAAGTGAAGCAATATGGTGGTTCGGTCAAAGCCTATCAAATCAACGGGATGCTTGGAATGCCAATCGGTGTCCGTCCCCATGACCCCAGTTCTCGTTCAGCCCCACCTGCGTCCGGCTCATTCGTCCAGAGCTCCGGCGCCCCGCGCGCCAAGGTGAGGACCTGCAAGATGCGTGCGGACGCGACGCGCGACGCGCGTGGACTTTTCGAAGCAAATCTTGGGACCCTGTAGGACCCAGGATAGATGGGGAGGTGCTGATGTAACCAAAAAGGTTACAAGATGTTACAAGGGTGGTCAAAAGTTGGTCACATTGGATTTTGGTGTTGTCAGCTTTTTCAGAGCTTGTCCAATGTTTCATCACTTCATACTTCATCTAAGGTTCCTTTCGTTCACGTGCTTTCAGGACATGTTGAGTGGTAGTCACCAACCAAACAGGTCCCCCTAAATGAACCACTCTCATCCACTGTCTAGTTTTGGTGGGATAGAAGTCAGGTTGGTAGGCTATCAAAAACTGTGGCTATGGGAAACAAAACTCTCTAACATCAAAACGTGGATTGTCGTCTGGCTACGTGTCTTGTGAGCCAAATGGTTGTATAGTAGCAAAATAGCAACAAGAAGGATAACAAATGTAAACCAACAACACCAACATCAGTGGTGACCCGTTGATGAGTTCCCTCAACACTTTCAATGGTGGTTCAGTCCAACCACTTGTGGTTCTGCTAGGGAATATAAATCATTGAGTCAGGATTGGTCATCCTACACGTAAAAAAGAGTCCTATGTCTTCAAACATATATGTCTTCAAATCTTGAAAACGTCCGTTTCTCCACGAAAAAAACAACAAAAACACCCTTGACACCACCCGCCGAAGATCTAGGATCGCAAAAATCCGTTTTTCATGTTTCACCCCAGTGGCGGAGGCTCCAGCATTGGTGACCTCGATGGTCTTTTCGTCCAGTTCCTGCGTCCGCGAAACCAGCGCCGCGGGTTTCGCAGCACCACACCGGACGAAGACGGGAAGGTCAAAAAGATTGAGAAGGGCCTGGCGCCTGAGATGCTCCGTGTCAGGTCTTTGCTTCGTGCAAAAAATGGGGTCTCCTTTTCTCCGAGAAAGTCTGGTCATTCAGAAGGATCTGGCGCGCTTCGTCCGTGAAAACTATGGCCTTTATTAAGCTGGCCGCGGGGACGCTCTGGAAAGAAAGCGAAGCCAGCAGGTCTAATCAGGTCGGCGGGTGGGCGGCAGACAGGTGGTGGACTATCACCGTAACAGTACATGAGAGGAGGGAGACACGAAACGTAGGACAGCGGGAAGAGAAGAGAACGCGAGAGGCAGGAACAAAAATGCAATGTTCGACATGGTGATTTATCCCCTCGGAGGCGACCTTTCGTAAATATATGTTCATATGCACTCTAAATGTTCAAACATATGCTCTCGAAATGTTCAAAAAGATTCTTAGGAAAACAAACTTGCCCCATGGCTCAGATCATCGGTGAGCATTGAATCGGAACATCATAGGATTTGAACTATCCTGAAACCATAAGAGGCTCACGAAGACGCTCCCCAGGAGAGAATTGACGTGCTTCACAAAACAAACTCTAGGTATGTATCCCCTCGCAGAACACCTTTCGTGATTAGAATTTCATTTTCACTCTTTCTAAATGTTCAAGAGGGTTTCAACTATCCTGAAATCATGAGAGGCTCACGAAGACGTTCTCCAGGAGAGAATTGATCCTAGAGGGGGGGAGGGGGGGGGGGCTGTATTGAAAAATCAATTCCAAGGGGGCGGGGGGTGAAAGAGTGACTAGGGCGTACACGGTAGAGGTGCAGACCGCTAGTGTCTTTTATGCGCAGAGTCTTATCCTCTTGCTCTTTTGAGCCTTGAAGCAGTCAAGTATGGACACACTATATCGGCTGTTGGAGTGGAACCCTGTACAGGTAGGCTCTACTTTTCAGCAGGCACAAGATTCATGTCCACTCCTAGCTGATTGCGTATGTCGCACACTCTTTTTCTACTGCAAGGCTAAAACAGTCCAGCTAGCTCTAGCAACTTAAAACAAAACTACGGTGCCATGTACTTACCTAATCCAGTGTGTTTCACACTATAGAGAAGGTAATCTCAAAGCTACTAAATACAGTGAGGGAGCAATAGCTGACTCACCTCAAGTACAAAATCAAAACGATAATGTACCTCGGCTGGAGACTGTATTTTTCACAGGCGGAGATACCATGTACCGGCGCTCACTAGCTCTTTATGGCCTGAGCTAAATCAAACTAAAAGGGAAAGCGGCTTTTTCTCTACAGAGACCTATAAAAGAATCAAACGACACTCGCGTAACAAGGAAACAAAAACTCAAGACCGCACAAATGCAATTAATTAAAATGCCTTGCAAAATGCAAGGAGCGTACGGTCCGAGGAATAATCTTCTCGTGACGTGGTCTCGACCGCTTTCATCCACAGACAAAATAAAACTGCATCAAAAGGACTCTCTTTCACATTCACATCAAAAACACAAGAAGGAGATACCGGCAAATGTATGTACAAAAAAATCTTGCACTACAATTGCAAATCATGAAATGACTTAATCATCAACCATGACTGGTTGTCCATTAGAGGTCACTTCATAAGAGCGGTGGTGATAGATATCATCAGTTATGTAAAACTGTCCATATCTACCTGCTAAAGTTTAAAACTTCAGCCCGGCAACTTAAAGTCAAGCTTGGAAGCAAAGTATCAACTGTAACCAGAAGTATCTTCACTTCCTAGCCATCATTTAAATTTCAGCCTTCGCTCAGGAATTATGCCGCTGCAGACGATGAAGCTGCTTGATCAGAAGTTGGCGGCCTTCCTTTCTATTCTGCTTCTGTCTCTCCTTCCTCCGCAAGTTCGCCTCATGAAGAGTTGCTCCCATGCGATACTGTCTTCTGTCTCCAGATGAAAAGGAAGCTGGTCTGAGTGAAATAAACATTGGACCATGACTGTCCTCGTCAGAGGGTCTTGAGCACATAACCTCCGTGTCAATCATAGCAAAGTTCTCTGAAAAATTACAGATGAACTCCTTCGTGCTCACTGTGGAATTTTCATATTCCTCTTCACTCATTGAATGACCCCATTCAACAATGGTAGACAAACATGTATCGCCAAGCTGTGATCCTTGGTATTCTTCTTTTTCAACAGTAGAATATTCTTCCCAGAGTTTATCAAAGTAAACTTCACACTTCTTGAGGACCTGTGAAGTTGAACTGTAAAATGTTCTGGGAATAGGTGCTTTGATACCAGGATCTGCTTTTACACGAGCTTCTGAAAACCTGCGGATCCAATGCTGCATGGTGCTGTAATAGTAGTTAGCCATTGGCTGCCTTTTGTACCCAGACATTCTGTAGGCCAAACTATTTGCATCACCAGAAATGATGTCCACCTCATAGACAAAACACTCGTAAAGCATCAATGCTGTCTGTTCTCCTGTCAGTAGGTGGGCATCCACAGCACGGTGTGTATCAACATGATAATTACAGACTCTGATGGTATGCATGTTCGCTCGAGTAAGTGGAACACGCTTGTCCTCAGGACCATAGTCATCAAATTCAAAGTCTGCATCCTTGAAATCTTGACGAGGCCTTGTTTCTCCAAAACAAATCTCGTAGATAGCCCAAGTTACATCACGCTGTTCACAGTGACCAAGTTCTTGATCATGTCCAGCAATGATCTTGACATATCCACCTGGTGCCAATCTAGCCATCACTGCAAGATTCTCCCAATCATTGAAACAAACTGTCCAATTCTTTTGCTCAATAAATTCCTTGGCAGGAACAAGAAGATGAGCTTCCTGGAGAATCACGACATGTGCACGTAAAAAGAAGAGCATGTTGAAGAAAAGGTTGTTCTCAGATTGCTCATTCTGAAGTGACATGGCGCTCTGTTTGCGTGGCCTCATTGCACTATCAAGTCCTTGGAGAAACCTTGGTGTGGTGTACTTCTGACCACGAACCATGTTGCCATAGTTCCAGGATAAAAATGTCAAGGACTCTGAGCTGGCCAATAAGTTAGTTCCATATGGTTCTTCTATTCTTCCCTTGAGGAACCTTCTGCACAGCTCTTCATAGAAGGTGACAAAGTCCCAACTGGGTCCCTTGGGACCATATGATTCCAGTTCCTTCTTAAGTTCCTTCTTCGTATCCTCCAATTCTTCTCGAGCATGTTCTGCCCTTTCAAGCGCCTTTGGATCGACCTGATACTTGCCATCCAAATGAATGATGCGATCATCATTGATAAAGAATCTCTTCAAATCATGCTCTGGTTCGCGTTCATAACAATCAGGTGGAGGTACTGGACAGATATTACGAATGGATCGAACAAAATCATTCTCGTTGATCCTTGACTGATGATGAGGATGGGAAATCTCACCTTTTCTGAAACAAACATGATTCAGCAATCTTGCGTGAGTTTCCCTGGAGCATTGTTGATAAAGGCCAATACCTGGATCTCCTGTAAGCTCTCCAAGCAACTTCAAAGGTGAAGTATGCAACTCATAGGTATTGTCAACTTTTGTTGTATCCTTTTCAACAACTACTTCAGATGGGAAAGATTCCTGGATTTCAGCCTCCAATTTCTTCTCTCCATCATCCTCTCTGACCTCTTTTATTTTCTCCACCGCCTCTTTCTTCTCTTCCATGGTTGCATCATCCTGAACTTCTTCATGAAAATGTGGATCAGGTATTTTATTCAGGCGGCTTTTCTTAGATTTCGGCAGACGTGGAGTATCATCAAGGTTAGCATCCATCTCACCTGATGGTAAGTGCGATGCAGCCGAGTCCTCACCTATCTCTCTTGACAGAAAGTGTGGTGTTGACTCCTCCTTGGCTTCCTCCTGGTCCACTTCCATTTTTGGTTCCTCTGAAGGAAAAACACCTGCATTCTCATCAAATATTTCTTCTTCCTTTTCAGGTTCAACTGCAGGATCTTCTTCAGGAACTTCCTCTTCCATATCCTCATCTTCTAGAAGTGTCATACTTCCAGTATAGATTCCACCAGCGATAGTGGAGACTCTTGTATAAGGCGGAACTTCTTCACCTGCATCAAAAGCTTGTTCTGCAACATCCTTGGTGAGCAAGTCCTCTACAAGATTTTCTCCCATGGTTCTTGGAAGAGGTCCTGAGGTCTCATAAAAATCTGTCCTCTCTGAACTGAAAGCTTCTGTCGCCTTCTCATTGTCCTTTTGATCCCTGAACAGGTGAGTAATCTTCACAGCTTCTCCCTGTAGCACCTGATCACCTTCTCTATACTTGTCGACAATGGAGCGCCATACTGGAACATTATCATCATCGAAATCAAGCTCCATATCATCTGCCAACAGGTATGAGATGTTTTGAGCTGCCTGTTCTTCTTCTTCTTCCTCACGTTCCTTGGCATGCTCCTCATCCTTCTGGATCTTAAAGATACCCTTCAGGATGTCTTGTAGTACCTTTAAGTTCAGCTTCGATGATGGCTCATACGTCCCTGAACTTACAGGCTCAACTACAACACGAGAGCAAGAAATCGCCTCCAAAAACTTGGAATTGTATTGGCGTTCAAACTCTTCCTTCTTGATCATCTCATACAAGGGATCAGAAACTGCAACACGCGCTTGAACATACTCACGAAGTTGATAGCATGCATGTTGCACAAATCTACTGTTGGAGTTGTGAAGAAAACTCTCTAAGTGATTCCTGTCACGGTCAATCAAATACCACACAATTCTTGCAGAAAAACGGAATTTCTTGAAGTTCATAGCAAAATGTGTACGATACTTCTCTGGATCCTCTTCTGCTTGTAAGGCGGCCTCTGAAGTCTTGTAAAGAGGGAGCTTTGTGTGTGGATCCAAGATCATAAACTCTTCCCACAAGATCGAATGCTTAAGAACCCACCTGGGAAGCACCTTGACGAAAAAGTCACAAACAAGTTCAGACAAAAGGTGCATGACACGGCCAATCTCTTCCTCCTGCTTGAAACGATAGTGCAGTTTGGCAAATAATGGATTGTTAAATGCTTCCTCCACTGAGTTGCCGAAATTATCCCACTGAGGTTCTGGGATACCAAAGTTCCAACCCAGCAATTTGGGATCCCTGCACATATCCAAGAAACTTGA